GTATACCTTTTTACTAGACTGAAACACTTCACTGCGTTGGTCGCGTCGCGCATGCGCGAAAAGCCGGGTCAAATCTGGCTACACTGTTTATGATGGATTTATATCGTCATTTATCATGGAAATAATATGGATTTCTAATAGAAACCTATCCAATATCCATCGTAGAGATAGATGTAGTATGGAGTTATGGAGATTATATGGACGTCCATTGGATAATATGTTCCGTGTGGGTTATTTTATGAACCGTAATGTGGTTCATGTTTAGATCCGCAGCAATAGCTTTCGTGTGAGGATCTCTGACAACAGCTTGTTGAATTGCATCAATTATCTCCTGATTTCTTCGTGGAACATGGAGCGGCTTTGCGAGATTTACGAAATTATCCATTTGTTCTTAATCTTTCTTCAAGGCACTGAAAAAAACCGTGGTTTGGGTGGCGTCTGTCCGGAAACTTTCGAGCGTAAAGTACAGCTGCTTGTCTTTGATTCATTTGACACTCGCCGTAAATAAGAATTATGTCCGTTAATTCGTCAAACGAACAAAACTGTTACAATTGTTTGTTCGATTGTTTCTCTTTCTGTATTCCTTATGTCCTGATCGCATTCCGTTTGACAGAATTTGACGTGAATTATAACAGGTTAAAAACGCGTTAAAAAATTGAGTTAACAATAATGGAACCGGAACGAAATCACTATTAATTAAATTCTTTATAAAAAATATTTTATGAACTGATAAAGCAATTTTTGGAAGTCATGGACACATAAACCGTCCTAATGAGCATCACTATGCAGAGCACAATCCACATTGTGTAAAAGAACACAATTTTCAAAGTAAGTGGACTGTAAATGTGTGGCTCGGAATCGTAGGAGATCACGTCATCGGCCCTGAATTTATCGAAGGAAATGTGGATGCACAATATTATTCACAATTTCTTCTCCATTGACTCGACGAGCTTTTGGAAAATGTGCCACTAGCTAATAGGCTAGAAATGGTTTTCCAACAGGATGGACATCCCGCTCACACGTCTCTTGTAGCGAGGACAATTTTAAATAAAAAATTTCCGCGGAGATGGATCGGACTTCATAGTTTTCAGTGTGGCCACTACGGTCTCCGGATCTTACGCCCATGAATTTTTTCGTGTAAAGCTTTTTAAAAAAATAAAATATATGAAACTGCTAGCAAATTAAGAAGATTTGCAAAATAGAATACAGAACGCATGTGCAGAAATCACTCTTGCCAATAAATAGAGCAATTAAATAGAGTGAGAGAAAATTTCATGCGCAGAATCACGTTATGCTTAGAAAAAACTGGTAATTTAATAGAGCATTTGTTATAAGCATGTTTTAAATAAAAAAATATTATTTATCTTTATTTTGTAAATTGTGTTATTTGTTTAATAATCGTTTAATGTTTACTAATTTTATTTCCTAACAGCACACGACATTCTGCGTATCATCCCATTTTCATACTCATTCTACTGAGATTATTCGTTAAATACTGAGATCAATCCTATAATATTTTTTGCAGTATTATTCGGTTTTCTTTCGCACACGTATAATCTCAGGTTTGACTCAAACGTACGGAAGTGATACGTGCGCACTTTTATCGCGCGCGTATAATCTCAGGTTTGACGAGACCAGCACTAACCTGCGCCATTTACATATGTAATTCCTTTCCCCGCTTGCCTGGCATCAAGTGACACCAAGCAACACCACGTATTCGAGGTTTTACTGATATCGAAGGTAATCCTTTTCCTTTAAGTTTTATTTCACAAAATAGTGAATAAAGTGTAAGAGCTAGATAGTGTTTGTATATGATTTTTGTAATATTTTTATTATTTTTTATGTACTTGTTAAATTATTTTGCTTAAAATATTTTAAGGTTATGTTCGTAAACTTGCATTATAATTGCCTCTCACCTCTTTGGTTCTTGGTTAAATATACAATACATTTTCCTAATTATTTTTTAAACAATGTCTTAAAAAGATGATTTAACATAAAACTGTTTTCAGTTCGCAGTATCGTTCCTTTGAAGTTCTCTAGCTTAGGCTTCTAGAACTTTATTTTATATTGTAAG